ATGACTCCGACGTCAGCAGGAGAAGAAAAGAATTTTGTGATAAATATGAAGGATATGATAATGTTTGCAATTGTAAGTATCAGCCAGCGAGGCGGCACTAAGGTGTGCCTCCATCAGTTTTTAATAATATGACTTTTATGTTGTGAGAATCTTATAATTACCTCGATCCATATATCTTTTTCAAAACTATCCTCTGGTTACCTTGTCTACTTCGAAGCCGTTAATTAGGCCGTCACGCACGCGTGTTGCGTAACGACCCTAAGATGAATAACGCGCGGCTACAGAACGTGAGCGGAGTCTGTCTGTCTCGCAGACTGAATATTTCATCGATCGTTCCATTGTAGATAGAAACCTGAAAAATTAGCCATCCTGGTTCACGTTCTCGAGGACGTTTTTAGAAGTTCATACTGTTGCTATGGTAACCTATTGTGTCACGGAAATGATAACAACGTGTTCACCAATGATTGAGCAGTTTGTTGATACCATGACTGTAGCATCAAGTGATAAAGAATGTTTAAATGACCCATCAAAATCTAAGCGCTGGAAACTGTTTTTAGCCACCTTAAATCGTTGTCAAACATTTTACGTTATTCCATCGTAGGTGGCAATCCAGTTTTTCTCGACTTCAACCTGCCTGCTTTTCAAGATGGCAGCCGGCTCCAGCTTCCAATGGCAATCATGGCTGGAAACAGACCAAGTTACTTACTGCGCATGCTCTTCAGCCTGCACAGGGTCGAAGGCCTGGATCCTAGTTTAGTAACTGTTTTTATTGATGGGTTTTTTGACGAGCCGTCGTCAATTGCCAAGTTGTTTCAACTGAATGTGGAACAGCATGCCGACTCAGGGAAACGTAACTCGAGGATATGCCAGGTAACGTTGAACGCGAGGAGCGCATCTGCATCGGTTCTAACCCTTAGAAAATCGCTTTTATTTTCAATCACGGCTAACGTAGCGAAATTAGATAAAAAAGTACAGTCATTGAACTGCTGAAAAATGTTCCGATCCTTATTTGGAAATGTAAGGCTAATAGACGGGTTTATTTATTACTTTTTGTTTTAAATCAGTATTTATTTAGGGACATCTAATTTAGCTTGGATAGTTGAAATGGAGCCCTGATACAACGTAAATCTAAGTACAACATAAAATTTCAAAGAGGGTTTAAAGGATCTACGTCACGGTTTGCGCCGCGAGTTTGGCCTAAATTTTTCAAGTTCGTCGTTTGTAATCCGTGTCAGTCTTCTCAATCCTTAACCATCCTTGTTCCTTCATGGTTTAGCATTATCTCTTTCATCTTTTTCTATCTTAGTAAACTATTATTTTCAGGTTTCTCTTAATTTAAAGGTAATTTTGTACGTGGCCAAACTAACTGACAATGGAAATTACTTTGTAATTCTTTGGTATTTTTTACTTTCAGCATTACAAGAAATCGCTAACAGCGTCCTTTGACCGATATCCTGAAGCAAACTACCTTGTTATCTTGGAAGAAGATTTTGATGTGTCTGTAGATATTCTTAGCTACTTTAAACAACTTCTCCCAGTCCTGGAAAACGATGAAAGTCTGTACTGTATATCTGCTTGGAATGACCAGGTATTAGCTTTAGAATCTTGAACTGAAGTGATCAGTACCTGAAGCCTTCTTACAGTATCTATGTAACAGATTCTCAGTACTCACACGACAATTAAGAAATGAAAGGTATTCAGTATGGAGAATTTAAATTTTGACCCTGGGATCTAGAACTGTTAAGGCCTACAAAAATGTAAAGGCAACTTACTAAAGGATGAGTAATATTTCGGTCACAACTATAACATCACAAGACTGAAACATGCAAGTCAACCAACTCAATAGTCAGTAAGGGAAACAGTGTTTTTCTGTGACATTTTTTTCTCCATACCTTATGTACAGTATAGGAAGTGCATTTTGACCATCCTTGTCTCACATGTTCTTTATAATCGAGATTTTCCCCTCATCCATAGATGTATGTATTTTTCTACGTGTTATAAGAGCAGTTAATTTTGCTAGGAGGCTTCTTCCATCCTTTGTTGTCGAGAAGTTTCTGTTCTCTGCATTTGTAAAGGAGTAATTAATGACATTAAATGTGTTTTATTCTGTAGGGGTATGACCACCTTGTAAATGACCCGGCCATGTTGTACAGAGTTGAGACTATGCCCGGTTTAGGATGGTAAGCAGAACAACTTTGCATTTCCTCAGACAGCTGACGTGTTTGAGAAACAACTAGCTGAGTTCTACTTCTACTAGCTCTTCGCCTTTTACTTATTTTGACCACGCACAAAATTACCTTAAAATCGAAGGAAACCAGAAAATAATAGTTTTCTAAGATAGAAAAATACCAAAGATATTATAGTAATGAACCATAAAGGAATAAGGGCGTTTCAGGATGGAGACGATTGACACGGATTACAAATAACGAACTTGAAAAACTTAAGGTAAACTTTTTAAGATGCGCAAACCATGACACAGCCCCTTTAACACGAAGATCGTTGTGAATGTTACACGTGGTCACTCAACCATTGTCGGTTTTTGTTTGTTTTTTGTGTTTGTTTGTGTTTGTTTCGTTTGTTTGGTCTTAATGTATTGAGAGTTTTCGAATCCGAGAAACAAACATATCATTTATGCACCTCATCCCCGTGTCCAATATGAAAATCACATCACAAAATACCCGGATGTTTTGTACAGGCGGCGTGGCCGAGTGGTCCAGAGCGCTGCATTTGAAATCTGGGAGCCCTGGCGCAATTCCTCCACCCTACCGCTATCTGGATTTGTTCTCGCTAGCCCCGAGTTCAACTTCTCGACCGCGTTGTGTAAATAGCCAACTGGTCCGCCTCCTCACCAGTTGGTATTCCCAACACTTTATGTTCTATTTGCAAAATTTGTTTAATTACTTACAGCGTCTCCAAGTCGTAACACATTGCTAAATACATTTGACACTTAAATAAGTTATTTATTTTCTTTCTTAGCGTCAATCAGTATTCCTCTGTTTTACCCCTCAAAGATTACTGAACATCTTTATCTCTTTACCATTCAACAAGTCAATATTCCTCTGTACCTTTTTACCACTAAAAGTTAAAAGTCACGCCGACATAACGTTCAGTGAAACCAACTAATGACACATCTCATCACATGTATATCGAATATCGTAACGATTTTAAATTCTTACGATCCG